TGTAAGCCATTGGAGATTCAACATTGCTGCAAACGAGGATGATTTGCATGGATGAGATAGGACATCTCACAATGATTGTCAATGATCCGATTGATTACCAAGAGGAAGAAAGAGATGATCACGCTGAAGCACATATTAGGTGTCCAAGAGGACCAATTTTAGGATATTCATCCTCATCCATCATCAACACTACACTAAGCACACTATGTTGATTATGAGGTTGTGATGACTCACTTGAATGTCGTGAAATTAGGCATGGTTGCTCGTTATGATGCTTGGGAGGCATTGTTCAATCAATGCTTTGATGCCTTCGCTTAACAATCGATTGAGCAATCTGCGACCATGATGGAAATGCTATAGCATCTTCACCTGCAATTTTTTGATGCTCTACCTTCTCAATAATAAATTGATTTTCTTTATTTTGCTTTATTTTGTTGTTTATATCTTCATGTCTTTTACATTTTCTATTTATGTGGACTATTTTTTGCCTAGGGACATGCTAGTGCTTAAGTGTGGAAAAGGGTTGTACTTCATGTATCAATTTTTATACTCCTTAAAACACAAGTTTGATTATGATTATGAGATGATTGTCCTTGTACAAGACTATTTTACAAACTTGCTTGCTTTTCCTAATTTTGACAATTTTTTTTTGGAACAAAATTACTCATAATGTTAACTATATATAATAAGATTATTTTGAACTAATAAAAATTTTATTAATAATTCTAAATTTTCACAAAACTTTTTGGGAGAAAATTATTTGTAGTGTTAACAATTATATATAATAAGATAAGGTACATAATAAGATTAATTATTAATTTTTAACTCTTATTTTGAGCTAACAAAAATTTTCTTTAAAATATCCTAATTTAACCAAATTTTTTGAGAGAAAACTACTCCTAATGTTAACAACTTTATATTATAGTATTTTAGGGAGAAAACTACTCCTAATACTAATAACCTATGTTGCACGAACATGACATGAAACTGTCGTGTCCCCAAGTCTAACACTCTTTAAGAGCGGACACACCCTAGACGCACCTCAGACACTTTGAGAGATCGTGTCCACACAAATTGGGCACGTCTCAATTACGGACACCTTCAAAATTGACGTGTCTCCATCGTAGACACCTACAAAACTAATGTCTGTCCATAGTGGATACTTGCAAATGAACATGTCTCCATCTCGATGCGTTATTCGATACGTGGATTTTAATTTTTTTAAATAAAGAATAAATCTCAATAAAAATATAAACAAAGAAGGGATGATTTGAGTTTTTTTTAAAGAAAAATAAATCTCAATAAAAACATAAACAAAAATGGAAGAATTTGAGAATTTTTTATAAAAAAATATCGATAAAACTAGAAACAAAAAAGATAAGATTTGATATTTTTTAAAATAAAAAAGAAAAAATTTGATAAAAATAGAAATAATGAAGAAAATTATTTTATCTCTCCTTACTTAACTTTCATGTAATAGAAAATAAATTTTTTTAATAAAAATAAAAATAATGAAGGAATTATTCGAGATTTAAAAAGAAAATTATGAATACGATATCTCTTAATAATTTTTTTTTGAGACCTAGTAAGTTATTGTTATATTAATATATTATATTTTTGTCATGTTATTTACATTAATATATATATACATACATACATACATACATATATATATATATATATATATATATATATATTTGGGAGGTGTATTGGAATAGGATTTTAAAGGACTTTTTTAGTTGAAAAAAGTCCTATGAATTTTAAAAAGACTTTGCAGAATTTTCATGACTTTTAAGATTTTGTAGGATTTCGCAAGACTTTTAATCAGAATTTTAATGGATTCTGCAAGACTTTTAAGTTAGGATTTTAATGGATTCTACGAGACTTTGTGAACTTTGTAGAACTTCATAGATTTTTGACATACAATAAAAGTTCAAGATTTTTTTTCATACATTTAAATTTAAAAAGAGTCAAAGAAAAAATAATAATAAAAAAATAACAATGTCTGGATAAATAATAATAATAGTTCTTTGTACTATCATGTACTTCTAAATAGCATTCACCCACATATCCATAGTTATACCAGTTCTCCAAACATTAGAATCTTTTCGCTCTTACTCTTGGGTTATAATAATAGGCTCAAAATTATGATTTTCATGAACGAGTAATGTTGAAGATGAAGGTTCGTCCACTACTCCAATTGAAAATTCATCAGAATGACATTCTTTACGAAAAAAGTTACGTAATGTTGCACATACTAAAAATTATTCTAAACAACATTTCAATTTTTTTATAATTTGTGATTTAAAATATTTTATTTATAAATTTACAAATGATTGAAAAAAATAGTGAAACAATTGCCCTGCTCTTTTATAACTAAATATGTTCCTTCACTTTATATTGATACTGAAGTAAAAATTTACAAACATCAACTAGGAGAAAAAAAATCTAAAATTTGTTACAGGTACAAAATATTTTTTTTAATTTTTAATCACTTTCAAATATTCACACGTGAAGAAATATTTTTAGTATTGAACTCTAAGATACTGTAATGTCTTATGTTATTTTTTTTAAATGTAAAAAATCTTAATTTCATAATATAAAAACTAAAAAATAAAATTTATAGTAAAAATAAGAAATAAAATAATTGTTGAGTCAGAAAAGCGGAAGGATAACAGTAACAAATTCAAGAGATGGAAAGAGATCGCAATTTTTGTGCTGAAAGAGTTTTTCCCCAAACTAAGATTCATTCTGATCTCATTCTACTAACAGAAACTCTAACACAAATTCATCTTTTATATACATTGTTCTAATAAATCTATACCAGATAAGGGTATGAGTACCAAGTCAAATATAAGAAAGGACCGAGGAGTTGTCGATATGACTACACCGAGGAGTCCTCGACTCATTACAATAACCTACTTATTTATTACGGATAAACACTAATGGATTCTCTTATGGGCCTACATATGGGCCTAAGCCCATTAAAGTTAGTATAAATAAGTGTGATTAGTAACAAACAAAGTTACGTTTTCATAATTACCAGTTGATTAGCATTGATATCTCTAAGACCGAGGACTGACTTAAGCATTGGAGTGTCTTTTGCAGGTACCCCCTCTTTCCTTAAGATACATCATTTAATACTAATACCCAGCAGTAATATAAAAATTACCAGAGTACCCTCGTGCAGGTACAAAATCTAAATTCGTTAAAAGGTCTTGAAGATCTATAGTTGATTATAAAGATCATGATATAAATTTTAGTTTTTACCTTTCCTTTTTCTTGACGCGTGTTATAAAAAAAATTACTACAATTGAAATTTTAAGCATTTTTTTTGTGTTATATAACTGAGGAACAATCTCAATTAAATAGGGCAAAATAGAACAAATCAATTAAAGAGAACGAAGAGAAAAATAGAGCAAGTCAATGACACTATCATTTACGTATAGAAGTTTTACCAAATAAGGGAATGAAATGGGAATAGTAGTACAATATTATATATGAGTAGTAGTACAATATTATTAGCAAGAGAAAAAAAATGGAGAAGACATGAGCATAGAAAAAAAAATGAAAAACTCGCTTGGAAATTCTTGAAGCACTTGAAAAATCACTTCAAACAATCCTCCAAAATTTGATGAGTTTGGATGAGATTGTTTTATGAATTTGGTATTTATAGATACTACTAAAAATCCTTCAAAATCCCTCTAATATAAGAATCCTTTAAAATCTCTATATTTTTGAATATCAATGGATTATTTTTAAGTTGTAAAAAATCTTAAATGAATACCAATGGATTTTTTAAAAAAAATCTTGAAAATCCATATTGAATACCATTGGATTACTTTTAAGTGACATAAAATCTTGATCGAATACCAACGAATTTTTTTACTTAAAAAAAGTTTTTTAAAATCCTATAAAATCCTAAACCAATACACTTCCTAATTTTATATTACTCACAAATAATAAATCATTAGAGGAAAATTGCTCACAAATAATAATAATTTTATAAAATAAAATTAATTATTCCTAATTTGAACAAAATATTTTGAAAGGAGAATTACTCCCAAAAATCAATAATTTTATATATTAAGATAAGATATAATAAGATTTTGAGCTAACATTTTTTTTAATTATCATAAACTTGAACTAAATTTTTTGGAGAGAAAATTATTCATATTATTTGTGACACCCTCTACCCCGCATATCATAACACATAATAATAAAATTTGAATAATAAAACATTTTATAATTAAAAAAAAAATCCAACGTGTTCAGATAGAGAGTATCACATGCATAACTTAACAAAATTAGCAAAATTTTAAAAAAAATAAAATAAAAGTAAAGTCTCCAAAAATAATTTAATAAGTGAACATTCTAATTTAATCCTATCTATGCCCCAATGTCACATGTCCTATCAGAGCAAAGCCAAACTTTGAAGCCTAAGCTTCATCACCTACATTTTCAGCCTCATGCTGATAATCACCTGTACAACAGTCAAAGGAGAACAACAAAAAGAAAAGGGAGTGAGAAACATCTCACTCTAGCTCACAGTGTAGAAATACACACCGAATAGCCAAACACAAACAAGACAGATATAACATAGATTTATTAATAACAATATTACATCTCACTCATCCAAGACATAAAAATATCAATTAATTATATAACATTGAAAATGCACGTGTATGGACACGGACTACATGTTATCATGCATGTGGCGCCAGTAAAACATCACATGGCATATTGCCGCTAGCAATACACGAAGAGTAGTCTAGGAGTACATGCCGGGTCAAATTGTCTTTCAGAAATAACAATTGGACATTTAAGACAAATACTAGAAGTAGTTATGGGACCATCTGTGGGGGTTTCTACAACTAGATCATAGCTCAAATAAGACACTGGCAATTTCAATTTTTGGACACAGGCAAAAGAAATGAAAGAATGAGTTGCACCAGAGTCGAACAGTACAACAAAAGGATTCTCAGCTATGAAACAAATACCTTGTATTAAATTGTCAGACTGAGCAGCTTCAGCACCACTAAGAGCAAATACTCTTCCAGTAGTTTTTGGACGCTTAGGTTGAGAACTAGCTCTTGTTCCCATCATGCGTTGCCTTGGCGGTTGTGGACACTGAGTACTAATATGACCCTTGCCATTACAGTTGAAACATGTTATTTCCTTGTCAGGACAGTTATAGTGCTCATGCCCACGTAGCCCACATTTCTTGCATCGACTAGTAGGTGTAGAAACAGAGCCTCCTACATTAGCAGCACCACCTACGAAAGAATTTCCAGCCACAGATCTACTCTTAGCATGATTTCCTTGAATCTTGGCAGGAGCGGAGTAAGGCTTACTCTTACCTAGAGCACTAGAACTTGCAGCACGCATAGGACCTCCAGCTCCCTTGTAAAAAACAGCACGTGCACGGTTGTCACGGCCGTAGATTCTACTCTTGTTTGATAAGCGTCGGGTAGTGATAAATCTCTTGATAATTGATCGTTGTCTTTATCTCAGGACGAAGGCCATTCACGAACTTAATGCACTTAGCCCTTTCACCACCCTCACCATGATAATGAGTACAATAGCGAACCAGAGCATCAAATTTCGCAGCATACTCTGCCTAGGGGTGGGTATATGGACTCGAGTCCGCGGACCGGTCCGTAAGTCCGCGGACTTCACGGATAACGGACTCAATTTTTTTAATCCGTATAATCATATGGACTTTTTAGGTCCGACCCGTTAAGTCCGCGGATTTTGCGGATTTAATCCGCGAGCCCGCGGATTACCCGTTTAAATGTGGAACTTTAAATTTGTTTGGTTGTGTATTAAGACTTTTAAAGTTTTAAGGTAGTAAGGCTTTAATATTTGGTTAATAGTTGGTATGCTTGGACTTTAAATTTTAAAGGCATTGAGACTTAAATATTTCTATTAGAAATTTAGAATGTATAAACTTTGTTATTTAAGACTTTGGTTTATTATTTATATAATGTTTGATGTTACTATTAGAAGTATATTTATATCATTTTATATGTATTTTTTTTCCTCATGTTTTCATAGGTTAAATAAAGAAAAAGAAATTCAAAATCTCATTAAATGTGTCAATATTCATTAAAAAAATTTAGATTTAATTGGGCCCGCGGACTTATCCGTTTATCCGCGGGTTTCACGGGCCGGATACGGACTTGAAAATTTAAGTCCATTTATTTCGCGGACCGGATTTATCCGGCCCGTTAAAAATGCGGATTTCGCGGACCGGGCCTTAAACGGGTCGGACCGGTCCGCATACCCACCCCTAACTCTGCCACTGTATCATTCCCTTGCTTCAGCTCGAGAAATTCAACTTCCTTCTGACTCCTCACATCATCCGGGAAATACTTCTCAAGGAAGACCTTTTTGAAGTTGTCCCAATTCAATTGCACTCCTCCATCAATCATCCTTTGAAGTGCTCCTTCCCACCAAAAATGGGCATCAGCAGTCAACATGAAGGTAGCCAACCTCACCTTCTGAGCGAGAGGACACTCCATGGCATTGAAAATTTTCTCGATCTCCATTAGCCAATTCATCGCAACATCTGGGTCATATCCTCCTTTGAAAGTAGGTGGATTATTTCGTTGAAATTGCTCCAACCAGTTAGGAGCGACTTCAGCCCTATTATTGTTACTCACAGCTTGTGCCAACGCTTGAAGGGCATCAGCAATCGCACAATCATTTCTACCAGCCATAGTCTAAGAAAATAGTACACAAAATCAAATAAACAAAAGACATAATCAATCATCACGCTAGCATAAATTTCACAATTAATTCATTTTATCATTCAACTATCAAACAAGCACAGTAGACTCATAACTAACGGCTGATTGGATCGACCTGCTTTGATACCACTAAATGTGACACCCTCTACCCCGCATATCATAACACATAATAATAAAATTTGAATAATAAAACATTTTATAATTAGAAAAAATCCAACGTGTTCAGATAGAGAGTATCACATGCATAACTTAACAAAATCAACAAAATTTTAAAAAAATAAAATAAAAGTAAAGTCTCCAAAATTAATTTAATAAGTGAACATTCTAATTTAATCCTATCTACGCCCCGATGTCACATGTCCTATCAGAGCAAAGCCAAACTCTGAAGCCTAAGCTTCATCACCTACATTTTCAGCCTCATGCTGATAATCACCTGTACAACAGTCAAAGGAGAACAACAAAAAGAAAAGGGAGTGAGAAACATCTCACTCTAGCTCACAGTATAGAAATACACACCGAATAGCCAAACACAAACAAGACAGATATAACAGAGATTTATTAATAACAATATTACATCTCACTCATCCAAGACATAAAAATATCAATTAATTATATAACATTGAAAATGCACGTGTATGGACACGGACTACATGTTATCATGCATGTGGCGCCAGTAAAACATCACATGGCATATTGCCGCTAGCAATACACGAAGAGTAGTCTAGGAGTACATGCCGGGTCACACCCTCTGCGCACTCTCACTAGAAGGATATACTACCAGAGTCTCGTCGGGATAGCTAAGCCGCGCAAGATACATCCCATGCACACAATGGGCGAGACTGGGACTTCCAAACCGAGCTATCCCCAAGGACTAATCCCCAAAGCTTTTACACTAGGGGGCCTTCTCTGGCGGTGTATTCCATATCGTACCCTTAAAACACTTATGCAAATGATGCATGTCAATCAAGACTCTATGCATTCTCATATCACATTATCATTTCCCATGGTCATATCACATCATCGCATTATCTCATCATATTTCATTATCACATTTCATATCTCATGTCTCAATCACATTTCACATTATCACATTATCTCATCATATTCACCAAGCCTTCACAGAGCACTTTAATTTATATCAAAACTCGTTTATTTATAAAATTAAATACATATTTTTACATCTCATCAAACAAGAAATATAACAGAGCAATCAGAAATCAAAACAGAAAATATTTATATTTTACCTATTTCTCATAGGGTTTCCCGCAGGAACCCATAGAGCACTCTAAATCATATCAAAACATATTTATTCTCAAAATTAATCACATAGTTACACATTACATTTAACAAGGAATACAACAGAGCAATCAGAAATCAAAACAGAAAATATTTATATTTTGCCTATTTCTCATAGGGTTTTCCCATAGGAACCCATAGAGCACTCTAAATCATATAATTAATTGCATATAAGAAAAATAATAAGTAAAACAGATACGTTTGGGAGAAACCTCTCATACATGAGCATACAAAAAAATACAGCAAACACAGGATTGGGGGCCAATCCCACTACCCAACATATATTCCCACACCCATAGCAAGATTTCTCACTCCCCCCTTACCTCGATAAGCATGAGTCGAATCTTGATGGTCGCCCCCTCTAGGTTCCCCTTCGTCTTCAGAGAGAAAGGAGGAAAAAGATTAGAAAATGAAGAAATAAATTTTAAAGAGTGCAAAACGCTCTATTTATAGGCACCAGGCCGCGGCCAGAACGGCCTGTTCCAAATCCGGAATGGCCGGTTCTGGATTCCTTCGTCACCTCAAAAATATGCCACCGGAACGGCCCGTCTGGACTTATTAATGCTATGTAAAAAAATGTAACCGGAACGGCCCGTTCTTCAATCAGAATGGCCCGTTCTTCAATCAGAACGGCTCGTTCTTCAATCAGAACGGCCCGTTCTTCAATCAGAACGGCCCGTTCTGGGTTCCAACTTTGCTTATAAAATCATGTCCCGGAATGACCCGTTCTTAAATCGGAACGGCCCGTTCTGGTTTCTAATTTTTTTCATAAAACCATGTCTTGGACCGCCCTGTTCGATGCAAGATTTATATGCTATTCTAGTAGTTTGGAACGGCCCGTTCCAATTTCGGAACGGCCCGTTCCAATTTCGGAATGGCCCGTTCCAATTTCGGAACGGCCCGTTCTGGGCTACTAAAATATAAAATATTTTTTCGTAAATAATTATTATTAAAATATTTATATTCATTAAAAATATCTAAAATACTTTATAAAACCCATTTAATTGGTTAAAATAATCATAAAAATTAATCTCCATATATAAAAATAATAATAACAATTAATTATTACATTAGTAAAAATTGTAAAAATTTTGAGGATGTTACGTTATTAACTGCTTCACATAATAAAATTATTCTTGATGTGAACCAATTTTTTTAAAAAGAAAAATATTTTTAATATTAACAGTTTTATATGATAAGATTTATTTATAATTATAATTTTGTTTTAAAAATAATTTATTTAAAACACTGCATTAGCATTTGTGGAGAATGTTCTAGATCATATATATATATATATTGTTTTTCTTAGTAAAATACATTCACAATCACAGGTCTCGTCGCTGCACCGGCCAGGCCGCGCCACTGTGGCCACGCGGCCGCGCCTTCGGCCCTCGCCGCCGTTAGGCCCTCTCTAAAATACATTAATTAATATAAATGTTGGATTTTCATCATCTTATTTTTACAGCGTTGTGAATAGATTGTTATTTTAAATTCTGAAATTAAATATAAAATAAATTATTATATATAAAAATAAAAAAGTCATTTTTTTTTAATTATTGGTGATTTGTATTGTGAGTAGGTGCGTGGGTTGGATCTGAAGAGCGTTAGTCTAAAAATAGAAAAATATTATAAATTATAAATATAAGAGATGGGATTTTATGTAACTTAAAAAATCTCTCTGCATCGAATTCTCTGGACTACAAAAGCGCACACACTCTCTCTCTCTCTCTCTCTTCGTATCAAAACCCATCCATTACATACAAATCCCAAATTCTCAATCTTCCTCTCCTATAAAACAACCCTTCTTTCGAATCCTTCGCGCCCCTTCCACTCCCCTCACTCTCTTTTCCCTCTCTCGTTCGCAGATCCCAACCCTAATTCCTCTCTCCAAACTCCGATTTCTACCCCGAAATCTCTTACACCAACCCCCAATTCGCCTTTTCTAGGGATTCCTTTGCTTCTCGGAAAATCTTGTTAAACTGTTTTGGGGTTTCAAAGTCCTATAAAACAACCTTCTTTCGAATCCTTCGGGTTCCCTTCACTCTTTTCCCTATCCGATTCGCAGATCCCAACCCTAATTCTTCTCTCCAAGGTTCGATTTTCCAACCTAGGTTCTCCTACACAAACCCCCAATTCGTGTTTTCTAAATCAAGCTTTAAAACTAAATGAGGGATTCGTTTTCTTCTGGGAAAATCTTGTTAAACTGTTTTGGGGTTTCAGAGATTTCGAGATCTGGCTTATTTATTTATTTAAACCTTTTTATTGGTTGATAAATGGTCTTTCTTTTTGAGTTGAGAGAAAAGAAGCGAACTGTTTTTGTTTTTTTTTTCAAAGGGTACTGATTGGTGGGTAGCTCTGTGATTAGGGTTTGATGGCTGACCAAGGATTGGAAGGGAGCCAGCCTGTGGATGTACAGAAGCACCCTTCTGGGATCGTGCCTACCCTCCAGTGAGTATCCGCTTTTTGTTAAACAGATCACGAGATCCTTCTCGATGGGTATCAATTGCAAGCGTTGGATAACTGAATGTTGAGTTTTAAGTTGTGGCTTTACCCCCTTTCTGTGTAATAAGAAGTGAGCTGATATTGTTAGTGTCCAACTAAGTTAATTAACTCCGTGGTGTTGTATCTTCTTAACGCTATCATGATGGTAGTGAGAATTCTGCTTGTAAATGGAAATGAAAGTATTTTTGTTTGTGTTATGGATAGTGGTGATCTTTGTGGTATAACTAGGGCTTGTATTGTTGAGGGTCACTTTTTGGTAACACAAGAAGCAAGTGAGGTGATGGGCTGGACAACCTATTCTTTATATTCTGTTAATGGCATTTAACTAGAAATAGCTAGAGATCCCAAGGTTTTAAATTGTAGTTGTGGTTGCGGTTGCGATTTCATCGGGATTCTAGATATTGTGGGAAATTATGTGGACAAATGCTACTGCAATTATGGTGGCAGAGACCCCCAAAACCCTCATGATGCTGTTGCCAAAATTGCAATTGCAGATCTTTTCTTAAACTTTGAGAGACTCTGCGGTATCCTAATCCTCGTATAAGTAGTAATAAGCTTATTGATAGCCAGCTTCATGATAAATTTTTCAGAGTTCATTATAAATATGACAAACAACCAATAAATTTTTGAGACTTTGCACCCTTTCTTAAGTTTTATCTATTTGGCACTCTGGAAAGACTTATTGAGTATTATTATTAATGAATACCATATATTTCTTTAAATTTTTAATGAATATTTTCAAGTTTCAATAATGACTGTTAATTATGTGTGCATTACAAATTTGTGAAAATTTGAGATTGCATCCACTATTTATGATTAGTGAATAGTGATCACTCTATGTGGTGCTATGTCGCTAATATTGGGTTATTAAGGGGTGGCAGTTTATGTTGTGATCTACCTTCTGCCATTAGTTACTTTTGATCAATAACATTTTCTTTATTTATAATGGAATTATAGTAATTTTTCTTCTATTCACATTGGAATGTTAAGGATTTTGCTTCAAAGTACATTGAAGTATCTAATAATTTTGCTTTTGTTTACAATCTTACTTTGGATTATGTACAAAATATGCTTTTATTTACATTAGCATATGTAATAATTTTTCCTCTATTTATATGGAGTATTCTAATATCAATCTGTTTATACTGCCAGAAATATTGTGTCCACTGTCAATTTGGACTGTAAGTTGGACCTCAAAACAATTGCACTTCAAGCTCGTAATGCGGAGTACAATCCCAAGGTAAGTTTCATTTGCTGTTAGTGAATTTCATTCAAGTGTCTGCACAAGCACAATTGTGCAGGTGCATTGCACATTTTTCTTTTTCTGTTTTTGCATCTGAATTGCAAAAAAGTTTGGCTTGTGGTTGTGCTTGTCATGTATCTGGGTATTTGAAATTTCTTGTGTTCCTGTTTGCACCAGAGAACTTTGGTTGATTTTAGAATACTATTTTTTAATTTATATTAATATCCAATGTGAAATAAGCTACTTGTTACTGCACTTCTGTTATTCAGAATCAATAATTAGCAGATGTATTAGATATACCAGTTATAATTGGTTGTTTGTATTTGTACTGATGTTTGTGATGTGTTTGCTTGCAGCGTTTTGCTGCTGTTATTATGAGGATAAGAGAGCCCAAAACAACTGCACTTATTTTTGCTTCTGGCAAGATGGTATGCTCCTTTGCAGTTCTGCTGTGTCTTCATAGATGATACTAGAGCATTTTTTTCTTATTTTTAACGTTGTCCTCATTATTTGATTCAGAATTTGCCAACCCAGATGGCTAAAATAAATTTCTCTTTTTCCTTTCTGCTTAAGGCTCTAATGTTTCTTGTTACAATATCAAATTAATTTGGTAGCCTTCTTGTAAATCTCTTTCTTTTGACATTCAAATTTTATTTGTATGACTATTGACTGACTAGGTTTGTACTGGAGCTAAGAGTGAGCAGCAGTCTAAATTGGCAGCAAGGAAGGTATGTTACTGTTCCTTTTTATTTTATTTTCATTCTGTCTATGTTTTTTTATTTTTTTCAAATGGAGGCCATGGTAAACTAAGCCATTTGGGGGAGCTTGTTTTTGAAACTATTCATCCTGCTTTTGGAGTTGATTGAGCTCTTTAAATCATTGAGGAAGGCTGGATGGGTTTAGCTCTTTATATTATTTTCTAAAATTTTGGTTTTCCCCCCATTCAGTATGCTCGTATTATCCAAAAGCTTGGCTTCCCAGCAAAATTTAAGGTACTACTTCTTGCTTCGGCCCTTTCTCATGATCTTTGCTGTAATTGTTTTATTCATGATTGTTGTTGTTCTTTCACTGTAATTATGTAGTGCTTGATTACCAATTCATTCCTTTGGTATTATGCTTTAGGATTTCAAAATTCAGAACATTGTTGGCTCTTGTGATGTCAAGTTCCCTATACGGCTGGAGGGTCTTGCGTATTCCCATGGTGCTTTCTCAAGTGTAAGTTTTTTTTTTTGGGCAAAAATAATTCGTAAGGTTAGATCTTGTGACTTTTACATTATTATATTTTGTTTTTTTGCAATTGATGTTTGGTAGTATCTAAGATGATCTGAGGTTGTTTTTATATTTACATACCTGATATGAAATAACCTGCTTAAATACAGTATTTTGTTTAAAGTGCTATGTTGCAAAATATGGAAAACATTGCTTTGACTGGAGTTCATATGCAAAACCAAAACTAGTTTATATGACAGCCAAACATTGACTAAGCTGTTTTTATTTATTTATTTTTATTGTGAAGACACTGCTTTGACCCAAAATGCATTGCCAATTGCCGCAAGTACTTATAGGATGGAATGTTTTTTGTAGTTGTAAAAATTTAAGTGGAGTGAAATGGTTTAAGCTTAAGGAATAGTATTGTAAATTGGGATGGTTGTGTGTGTGAAAGGAAGTATACGTTATAGAAAGGGCAATTTATTATGTCTATACATGTGCTTCGTCTAAAGTCTAGAAGTTAAGAGAAAGTGGAGATATCTGCTGATACTTGCTTGTTTGTGATGGCAGTATGAACCGGAGCTGTTTCCAGGCCTAATCTACCGTATGAAGCAACCTAAAATAGTCTTGCTTATATTTGTTTCTGGAAAAATTGTTCTAACGGGAGCTAAGGTAATATTTTCTTATTATAACCTCTCTTAAAATTTCTCCCCATTTTTTGGTTCAGTGGATTTTTTATGTTTGTTTTCATTTCCATTTTTAGGTGAGAGATGAGACTTATACTGCCTTTGAGAACATATACCCTGTGCTTACTGAGTTCAGGAAAAACCAACAATGGTATGGACTTGGCTTTATCAATTTAACTTTTTCAGTGATATGTGTTTACAGATGTAACATCAACAATTTCCATCATAGTGTATACCTTTTCTTATGCCACTAGATGTAGACTCCGGACTTCACAATTCTAATGCTTTTCTAGGTTGTATTTTTGTACAAATGATGTATTCAATAAATAAATTGATTTTTTGCTGCTTGAGGTTATTCATGTGTTTAGCACTATCTGGATATCAAACTATAATTCAATGTTTGATGGTTATGGCAGATTGTTATGAAGAGCAGGAGCAGTGTTCTGGAAAAGAAGTTCGTGGAACTGTAAATATTAAGACCAAGGAGATATCTAGATTGATATAAATTAAAGACAGCCGTTTGTGTTGCCTTGGTTTTGTTTTTGATTGGTCTTGATGTAGTAAAGTGGACGACATTGTTCTATTGATTTGACATATTAAAAAGGGATTTTGAAGAATCAGAAATGGGAAAAAAAAAAGTGGGGAGCTTAGTGGAAAAATAACACATTAAGTTCTGAGTCTGACAGTTGGGAATATTTAGTTTTATACTGTTTTCATGTGCTAGTTACATAAACATTTTGCTGATTCTATCAATTAACCGCAGTGTGGACAGACTAATTGAATTTTGATCGTCAAATCAAAGCTTTGAGCTGCTAAATTTATCACCGTTTTTAGAATTTTGTTTACCATCGATAGATTTCAACTATTTGATCAAGTATTTATGACCTGAATTCACTTCTCTAAAAGAATGAAGTGAATTCATAATTATTGAAAGTTACAGTAACTGGTAAGAATCTGAATGAAATTAAACAAACATATATATTTATCAAAATTGAAAGTTATTTCTTTTGTTACTTATATATATATATATATATATATATATATATTTATTTATTTATTTATTTATGTTTAAAAATTGTTTAAAAATTTTGAAAACTAAATAAGCCACCAATTGAACAAACCATTTTTTATTTTATTTTAGGAAATCTGATTGGATATCAAATTTGATTTTAAAGATTCAACCAATTTAATCCAAACCAAACTTATATATTCGTATATTTTTATTTATATGTTTATTATACCACTCATTTATATTTTTATATCATATATTTTTCAAAATTAACTCATAACTTTATAATATAATTACGAGGTACACAAATATAATTACGAGGTTGTATAAATTTATTTTTGACAGAATATATTAGAGAGTTATAGTACTGTAAGCTGTATAATATCTTATAAGGCACTAGCCAGGCAACTTGTTCACCCCAAATCACGTTGAACTTAATCTATCTATACTCATGCTTTTTTGTTTGAGTGTATGCTTTTTTATTTGAGTGTATTGGAATATGTGTAAATGATAGTTCGTTTATATAAATTTAGATTAGTTCAAATATCTTGTTTTGTAAAAGATACATCAAACCGACCTTAGCTCAGTTGGTAGAGCGGAGGACTGTAGTTGTTGAACAGATATCCTTAGGTCGCTGGTTCGAATCCGGCAGGTCGGATTTTTATTCTGCTTTAATCTTTCTAATTATTTCTCTATCAAAATGTCACGTATAATTTGCTTTTTACAACACAAATATTATCTTTAAAATAATTATTCTTAGTTATAGTCGCCATTCTCAATATATTCACTCAGAATAAAGGTTTCTAAAACTTTTTTCTCTAAACATATCCAATAATAACATGATTAATATTTCTTTATAAATTGTGCATGTCTTAAATTTTACTATTAAAATAATAATTATATATTTTTGATAAATTTCATGATATTTAAAATATAATTTTACATTATTTCATAAGTTTTATGTAGTATTTAAATAATATAAATTTATATATAAATATTTTTCACACAACTTAATAATATTAAATATATTTTTCTTATATGATATTATCACAGTTATATCATTAATAATATTTTTCATAAGGACAAAGAATATTTTGTGAACTTACTAGATTACATATCGTTCTAAAAATATTTACAATAATGTATTATTTTATACATTATTCATTTCTTTCACTCCTATTATAATATTTACATTGATAGTGGAAATAAATTTACAATTAAAATATTATGATTGACATATAAAAATTATTATAATAGATCCATCAAACAGCCTCCACGTTCCAATTTCTTCCAAAGAAGACAACAATAATAACAATTGTAAAATGACCTGAAATCGCAGGTAGATCCATCTATTTTGTAATAGATTTAATTTAAAAAAATAAAGAAAAGTGAGGAGTGAGAACAAATATCCAATAAGTACAAATAATTCAATAAAATGTACATAATTATTTATAATCAATAAACATATATATATATATATATATATATATATATATTAGATTTTTATGTTGTCGTAACCGGGATCACGACGGGATGATCCAAACATTTCTTTTTAATGGAGCTGCCACCAATATTTTATTTTAAGGGAAAAACATTGGAAAACCCTTTAAAAGATAGTCTTTAAAATTAAAGTTGGGTTCGGGAGTCAATTACGTGTAAAGAAGGTATTAACACCCTACAATGCCTGTAAAAACAGTACCTTTAATCAATTGTACAAAATTATATAAATTTATAAATATTTAATTTACTCCTCAGAAATGTATATGTGTATATATATATATATATAACGTGAGATGCTTTTTTTTTTTTTATTAGAAAATTATAGGGATTTGGGTTAGCAAATTACTAATCAATAAACCCTTCCAATAACATGAAAGATAGAATTGTTATTCAATCAATGTTATTGATTTTTATTTTTTGATACTAAATTATGCTTGAAGCTTAGGAGAATGAATACTTATTCTATTAACTTTTATGATTTACATGATATTAAAGGGTAGAAGTGCTACTCAATTAATATCATTAACCATAAAAATAAGTATACATGAGTATTTTTATCTAAAGAAATAGATTTTGCATAAGGATTCAAGTTAGCAAATGGCTAATCAATAAGTCCTTCCAATAACGTTAAAAATAGAAGTGCTACTTAATTAACGTTATTGGTTGCAACATATCTTTATTCATTAATTTATTGGCCATTATGTGTTAATTTTATAACTGGAACGGTCCGTTTTTAAACTAGAACGGCCGGTTCCAGAGATGAGTTTAACACATAACTAGCTACCCTGGAACGCCCGTTCCAAACAAAAGTTTTTAGGTCCTTTTAATAACTTAGAATGGCCCGTTCCAGCTTAGGAACGACCCGTTCTAGTTTAGGAAGACCCATTCCAAGCTTAGGTTTTAGCCCTCTTTTAGGAGCTTGAAATGGTCCGTTCCAATTTAGGAATGACCCGTTCCGAACTAGGAATTTAGGCCCTTTTTAGGAACTTGGAACAGCCCGTTCCAGATTTGAAACGTCCCGTTCCGATTTTGCAACAGTCTGTTCCTGGCTCCTAAAACTAGCTTGTTTGGGCTTCAAGCTTCCTTGTTGTCATATGGTATTGACTCCATACTTTGGGAGCTCTTCTTCTTCATAGTAAATGTCTATTTCATTGTTATTGTCGATCCGGATAAAATTGGTTATTCACATATGTCATAATAAAATTTGAATTATACTTGTAGTGACTAGTCAGGATAAATGAACATTATCATAATATCAACCAACAAAAAGATATTTCACCTTAAGTCCTTACTCATTTAAGTCCCCAAGGTCCAACCTCCAACCACAAATTAATTCAAACTTTATTTTCTATGGCTATAGAATAATATTTATCTTCATAAATACATAAAGAGATAATAACAAGACGAGTCAAATATATTTTAACAAAACTATATCATTGTTAATTATAAAATATATTTACACTAAATAAATTTGAATATTTATTATTAAAATAATATTTACCTAAAAAGAATATATCAAGAGTACCAATCATGTAAATACAAAACGATAATCATTATAAAATAATTAAACAACATAAACTATGAATACCTTATTAATTATTATGGGTAAAAATGATCATAGGTTAAGTAAATAAATGAGGTTAGGGATACCTCACTAAGCAGATATAAATAAAAAATAACATAAATAAATAAACAAAATAGCATTAAAAATTTAAAAAGATAACGTTCTCCTCCCCCTTACCTTAGAACATCGACTTATCAAGGGTTAATTGCGTAAAAAAAACTTCATGATCTTCTTCCTACTCACTTTTTCTCTATTTCCCTCTTTCTTTCTTTCTTTCTCTCTCTCTCTCTCTCTCTTTCTCTCTCTACGTTTTTACCTCCGTTTGTTTTTGTTTTTCACAGCCCCTCCCTCTCTTATTTATAAAATTCAGGAGTGTCCGTTCTGGATCCGGAACGGCCCGTTCTGGACTCATTCGTTATGTGTAAAGTTTACATCTAGAATGACTCATTCTTAAACCAGAACAGCCCGTTCTCAACACCAGAATGACCCGTTCTCATCACCAGAACGACCCGTTCTAGGGTTGAGTTTAACTCACAATGACCCTGAACAACCCGTTCCCAAGTAAAATTTTTAAGCCTTTTTAGTGGTTTGGAACGGCCCGTTTTGGGCCTTTAAAACACCAAAATAATATTTATTATTTAATTAACAAACTCATAATTATTAAAAACCTCTAAAATGTTTTATAAAACTTCTTTAATTAATTAAAATAACAATAAGAAAATAATCTCCATAAATATAAAAATAAATAATAATTAACTATTGTATTAGTAGAAAATTCAAGATGTTACAATTTATAGTATAAAGGAATTTTTTCTTTTTTATCAAGAGTAAATCACCTTTAATCTTTTTTGTTATCATTAAATTTTTTTTAATAAATCAAATAGTTACATTGATTATAAAAGCAACTGAAGCACAAGATGTGTCTCGGTTATTAAATAAGACAAATGAATCTTTACAAGTAAGTCACCATTATGATTCCAATCCCAACATCCTATTTCTATCAATCAACCAAAACTTTATTTACCTCATTTGACATGCACATTGAGTGACATGCAATCTCTTTGGGCAAGAATGCAAAGTTCCACCATGGAACTTGTCTTCTGTCAACAAATACAATCAACATAAGTCATCTCTATCACATGAAAACCATAAAATCTATTTGAAACAACGTAAATTCAACATGCAACAAGGATCCAACACAAATTCAACATGTTTACATTTTAAGTTTCCTTCCCTCAAAACTCTAACTTCACAACATAAACAACAACATCAAATATGTAAGCCACCAATGGGTTAAACAACAACTAATCACAACTTTAAACAACTTAAAGAATCAAATAACAAACTTTTCTTACCTCAGTCACTTTTAAAAACAAAGAAATCAAGGAATAAGGGGAAGAACCACAAGACCCTCTGGGATTGACTTTTCTCTAAGAATCCAAGCTCTAGCTTGAGTTCTAACATCTACAACTTGATCTTAGTTTCAAGGGAAGATCTAAGTGCTTCTAGTGAAGTCAAAAGACGAAACAATCTTCCTTACCTCTAAAGCTTATCTCTCTAAAACTTCTTTCTAGAATTCACTCATTCATAAAAATGAATTTATGAAGTTTATGTTCTTTGAAAATCTTAAATACTTCCAATGTTTCTTGATCAACTTTAACTTCAACTTAACCAACTTTAAACAACCTAGCTCTCAAAGATTCCATAACTCTTAGAGCTCAAACAACAATACACAAACTCAACATAACAAT